AACTCCGGCTTGTATGTCTGAGAGGCAATAAACAGGAGTACACAAATCAAGCCATGAAAACTGCACCGAATGAAACTCCTGCGGCAAACGTCCCAGCTGGGGACAGCAAGCACTGAGACCATTGGTCAAACGGCTCGGCCAAGACATAAGTTGAAACTTGTTGGCCGATCATCGGCCCAGTTAATGCTACTGCTGCTGCCGCCGCTGCAACCTGTGGCAACGTTGTACCTGAAGAAAAACTGCTTGCCAGAATGCTGGGAAACAGAGCTGCACGCTTGAATCGCGAAGTCCTAGTAGTCATCGATGTGATCACTTCCACCTGATAAACCATCTCATGCACATCAATCCTCGATATGTCGTTATCTGCACTGTAGTCCTTGGGCTTGGCGTAGTTGGCGTTCAGGTAATCGGCATCACCCTCCAACTCAACTCGCTGAGCACGCTGAATCTCGTCCCAGGGGTCGGTAAGCTTCCGCTTCCTGAGTGAGGGTGCTCGGGGATCTGGTCCGAAAGTCCATAGGTTCTCGTGAAAAACTCGATCTTGGCACGGGGTATCCATCTTCTTGGTAAGGCCGTCGGCCAGCTGCTGCTCAGATCGTACCCATTTGATGCCTCCATGCTGGCACTCCTGCCCGATAATAGCTGCTTCCAAGGAGAGCCTCCGATCTGATAGATGAACGCGCTCCTTGACCACACAATTCCACAGAGAACGACAATCTGTCACCAAAACACCCTTCCACTCTTCTGCTGCCTGACGGCACTCATGCCCCAACTTATTCGCTGGAAAGATATCTGCACACACGGCGCGTGTCCAGAATGCGACGTCTTGAGCTTCAGAACAACTGTAGGCCTCCGCCGAGAGGGCACTGCGTACTGCAAGACCAATCCGCCCACTTGACCAGGACAATAGCATGCATGGGTATAACTTGTTGTGATCGTCCATGATAGCACCATCTCCCACCATGATATAAAACCCACGCTGGCTCTTGTGGTTCGGCATGTTGTCGAAAGACGCGTCATACGATGCAATGGTGACCGATTTCTCGAAATCAAAACCACCACGAAATATCATCTGCATCTTCCCCTCGCGCCAGATAGAGCGTACAAGACTGTTCATGTCTTTCATGTCCTGTACCGTCGGCTTCGTCATCTGGCCTGCCAGCCTTGATGCCCCGAAACTGTATTTGTGGAGCAGCAGCATCACTACCCACTGAACCTGTCCGTTCATGCCACGTAGTGCTCGATGTTCGGCTGCTGTGAGTAGCTCCTTGTCTTGCTTGGCCCTCTCACGGGGCATGCGGTAGTCGGTCATCCCGTCAATGTAGTTGTCCATGTCGATCGCGATGACAAAGTCCTTGTCCTGCTTGAAGCGTCGGCCTGTGAAGGTAGCACCTTCGGGTGAGCCTTGAAGATCGTGCCAGTCACCGAACTCCACCTGCTCCTTCAGCTCACCGAACTCCACCTTGTCGAAAGCCATGAGCATGTCATCCACGTGCAAGCATAAGAGTCCCACCAGCTCCCCATTGTGCATAAGCTTGAAGGCCGCAGTCTCGAACTGCAGCTGCTCGAAACCGACCTGCTTCAGGATCTGGACAATCCGCTTGTACCAGGCCCTCGCCGCGTCGCTGGTGCCATAGATGCTCTTGTTGAGCTTGAGCAAACTCCCTTCTTCCAGTCCAGGAATTGTCATCCCCGGCATGCTCTTGGGCATCTTGAAGTACAGCTCTCTCTCGATCTTGACGCCCTGCAGGGAAGCTCCAGCGGCGTCTCCAGCAAAGCACGAGAGCCGCTTGCACGCCGAAGTGCTACACAAGAAGTTCTGCATGAAAGGCGAGCATATCGGCAAATCTCGTCGTAGCTTCTCATCGTACTTATCCTGGAAACCCTTGCCCACGATGCGACACTTGGGCCGGGAACTGGCATCGTTGCCGCTGCCTTTGTTTGTCCAAACTGCGCGGCTCTCGATCTGCAACGACTTGTCAATATTCTTGGCCATCGCAGGGGCGATGACCGTAACTGCGTCGTACTTGGTCCAAGTACTCCATTCCTTGATGAGCGCGTTGAGGCATTTCTCGGTGCGCTCCCTGCTGTATTGATCGTCGTATCTCAACGCATCCTTGATTTCCATCTCGCCGTTGGTAGCACGATCGGCTCGTTCAGCTGCGAACGACTCGCGCATAACCTTGTTGGTCGAATATGATATGCGGTACGTGTCCCCTTGTCGTTTGCTGTCGTCAGCGTGTTGAGGCCGATGTGTGCTCGACTCTGGTAGATGGTGTCAGATGCTGGCGTCTTCCTCTTAAGCCTCCGCCTCTCGCCGCGATCGCGATTGGCGCGTTGCCGTGCTCGCTGTCGCTGGCGGGTACTGTCTGCATCAGGATCCGCAGAGGTGGTAGGCGGTGCGCTGCTCGCCCCCCGAGTAGCCGTCCGTGCTGGAGCCGGGTTGTCCGGCCCATAGGACTGAGGAGCCCCTTGAGGTTCAGTACCCTCAGGAACACCTCCAGGGGCATGTCCTTCCGAAGGGTCCTGCGCTGTCCGATGAGTAAACTCTACCACGATGTCGGTCATGTCCATACCTCGCACCAGAGGAACGTCGAAAGGCACATCCAGGCTGTTGCGCGCCAGGTCCACCATCATCACCTTGGTGTTGCAGTCAAAGATACGTCGCCGTAGTGGCCGATCTCGGGGTATAACATCTTCTTCATGTAGTGGTGTCATCGTGCATCGTGCAATCCTGGTTGTCAGGATGGCGTCGTAGGGCCCACGAGGCTGCGAGCCAATGAGCATGGCCCACGACTCTGGGATATTCCACGAACCATCTGGCCACTCTGCTTCAACCCGCCTTCGCCGTGCAGGAGGTTGGCCTTCATAATCAGCGTCGCGATCTTGAAATTCCTCCATGTCTTGTCCCTGCGGTGCCGGAGGTGGCGCAGGATCTGGTGGCTGATCAGGCGGCGGTCGTGGTTGGATCCCAGGTTGTAGAGGCTGTCGTGGTTCAGTGAACGTGGCATTGCGCAAATCCACGAAGCCGCGCTGTCCATGCGGAACTCCTCGCCATTCACGCTGATCTCCAGGAATGCGATCCTCGATCTCATTGAGCGTCGACCTCCGGAGGATATTAGGTCCAGCCAGAATAGGCATGCCGTTGTGGATAAGCCAGTAGCCGAACTGGTCCCTCCCAATCACACGTGCTGGTCCCTGCCATTTACGATGTTGATCGCGTTTTCCTCCACCTGCGCGCCGGTAGTGAACCCGTTCGCCGCGCTCGACAGGTCCAGGCTGAGGTCGCGTCTTTGATAGCACCGCTCGTCGTAGGGTTGAGCTGTTGGCCGCTTGGTGAAATGCGACCTCACATGCTTCTGAAGCCGTAGGCAATGCCACATGAGAGATCCATGTGCTACTTGGCCTGCAACAACAGGATCAGCATTGATATCTCCAAGAGATGCCGGTAGTGATGGGTTCTCTCCAAGGACCCACTGCGCTGGGGAAAAACCCTTATTGTTCGATAGGCGGTCCATGGTCTGAGCAATCTGATAACCGGCGACCTTGGCGCTCTCGTCATCCTTCACCTCGAGCTCGCCAAAGACCTTGGTGGCCATCTCCTTGAAGAATCGAATCTTCCGCTCCACCTTTCCATGTTGATGATGCCCTTCTGGGGCAACTGGAACGCATGGAACTCCGAGATCTTCGCAGAAAACTTCGAACTC